TGATGGAAGATAGCCTTGGTTCCCCGGGAGACGAACTGATCCACTCCCCTTCAGATGAGGCGTCAACATCAGGAGGCAAACGTGCAGATTCTAAAAAATGCGGTGTGTGTGGTGACCGGGCACTGGGTTACAACTTTAATGCCATTACTTGTGAGTCCTGTAAGGCATTTTTCAGGAGGAATGCCCTCAAGAATAAGGTAAGTTCCTGCGGTGTTTTGGTGTAGACTGAGACCATGAGACCAATAGACCATGAGTGGAACCTGAGACACCCCCCTTCCGGTAGTTTCAGGTTGCTAAACAAGCACTCCACAGGTGAGCACTCAGCACCTTCAGGCAGAGCACTTGGGGGCACCACAGGTGAGCACTTCAGCACCTCTTCAGGTGAGTACTCTAAAGCACCCACAGGTGAGCACTCTAAAGTTACCTCAGGTGAGCACTTGGGGTTAACCCATGTGAGCACTTGAAGCACTCCACACAGGTGAGCACTTGGGGGTTAATCTTCAGGTGAGCACTTGGGGCCACCCACAGGTGACACTTGGGGTTAATCTACAGGTGAGCACTTGGGGGCACCCACAGGTGGAGCACTCTGGGGGTTAATTCCACAGGTGAGCACTCTGGGGGGTTAATCTTCAGGTGAGCATTGGGGGTTAATCAGGTGAGCACTCTGCCAATCTTCAGGTGAGCACTGGGGGTTAATCTACAGGTGAGCACTTGGGGTTAATCTTCAGTGTGAGCACTTGGGAAGCACCCACAGGTGAGCACCCTGGGGTTAATCTTCAGGTGAGCACTTGGGGTTAATCTCAGGTGAGCACTTGGGGTTAATCTACAGCAGCACTTGAAGTTAATCAGGTGAGCACTTGTAATAATTCTCAGGTGAGCACTTGGGCACCAGGTGAGCACTTGGGGTTAATTTCAGTGAGCACTGGGGTTAATTGTGTGAGCACTTGGGGGTTAATCTCAGGTGAGCACACTCAAAGCACTCCACAGGTGAGCACTCTGGGGATTAATGGTGAGCACTTGGCGGTTAATCTACAGGTGAGCACTTGGGGTTAATCTACAGGTGAGCACTCTCAGATTAATTCACAGGTGAGCACCTGGGGTTAATTCAGGTGAGCACTTGGGGTTAATTACAGGTGAGCACTTGGGGTTAATCTACAGTGAGACTTGGGGTTAATTCCACAGGTGAGCACTTGGGGATTAATTCTACAGGTGAGCACTGGGGTTAATCTTCAGGTGAGTACTTGGGTTAATCTTCATGTGAGCAAATTTGGGGGTTAATTCACAGGTGAGCACTTGTGGTTAATCTCAGGTGAGCACTTGATGGTTAATTCACAGGTGACCACTTGGGGGTTAATCTCAGGTGAGCACCTGGGGGTTAATTTTCAGGTGAACACTTGGGGTTAATTTTCAGGTGAGCACTGTGGGGTTAATCTTCAGGTGAGCACTTCAGATCAATCACAGGTGGGTACTTGGGGTTAATTCCACAGGTGAGCACTTGGGGGTTAATCTACAGGTGAGCACTTAGTTAATCTTCATGTGAGCACCCTGGGGTTAATCACAGGTGAGCACTTGGGGGTTAATCTTCTATGTGAGCACTTAGTTAATCTTATATGAGCACTGGAAGCTCATCCTCTTGTACCTAGTTAATCTACAGGTGAGCACTTGGGGTTAATTCTGCACAGGTGAGCACTTTTGGGGTTAATCAGGTGAGCACTTGTGGTTAATCTTCAGGTGAACACTTGGGGGTTAATCTCAGGTGAGCACTTGGGGGTAAAACTGCAGGACACCAAGCGGAATTGCATACCTAAAATAATCTTCAGGTGAGCATTTAAAAGGTCTCTTTCAGTGAGCACTTGGGGTTAATTTTCAGTAGCACTGGGGGTTAATCTATAGTGAGTACTTGAAGAATCTACAGTGAGCACTTGGGGTTAATTTACAGTAGAGCACTTGGGGGTTAATTCTTCAGGTGAGCATGAAGAAATTCTACAGATGATCCATAATGGCTAATATTGTCACGATCTTGTTAATCGCTTTATAATATTACCTGAGCGGTATTACCTCAGACTTCACCATCCTGTAATGTTTGAGATAAAACTCACTGGAAATGGTTTATCAAAGCCTCATGTTATAATGCTTTATCTGTCTATATAATAATGCTTAGTGTAACTTAATTAGGTATATAATGCTGTTTTTATAGGTATATTGTGTGTGTGTGTGTTACCTCGTAATTAATGGTCTACATGCCTAAGAAGATAAAAAATTCCAAATGATTACAATACCCAGCCAATCCACATTACAATACCCAGCCATTCCACATTACAATACCCAGCCATTCCACATTACAATACCCAGCCATTCCACATTACAATACCCAGCCATTCCACATTACAATACCCAGCCATTCCACATTACAATACCCAGCCATTCCACATTACAATACCCAGCCATTCCACATTACAATACCCAGCCATTCCACATTACAATACCCAGCCATTCCACATTACAATACCCAGCCATTCCACAGTACAATACCCAGCCATTCCACATTACAATACCCAGCCATTCCACATTACAATACCCAGCCATTCCACATTACAATACCCAGCCAATCCACATTACAATGACCACTTCTTGACTAAACCTTCACTGCCACAGGACTTTCGGTGTCCCTTCCAAGAGAGCTGTAAAGTCGACCAGGTCACGAGGCGTTTCTGCCAGAAGTGTCGTCTACGGAAATGCTTCGACATCGGGATGAAGAAAGAATGGATCATGACCGACGAAGAAAAACAAAGAAAGAAACAAAAAATTGAGGAAAATCGCGCGAGGAAAATGGGTGACGCGATGTCGGATGAGGAGGGTGTAAAGTCATCCAATCCTTTCAGTCCGTTTACGCCCGTCAGCGGAACGGAATCGACCAAACCACAGGCGGTTGTTATGGGCGTGATGCGAGGGGAAGATGACGGCTCATCAAAGGTAAGGATTTTAATTGTCTATTCGTTGAGTGATAGGGTACCGGTATGTAGGTTAGGTTAGGTTAGGTTGGGTTTGGTTTGGTTTGGTTTGGTTTGGTTTGGTTGGGTTGGGTTGGGTTGGGTTGGGTTTTGTTAGGTTAGGTTTTGTTAGGTTAGGTTTTGTTATGTTAGGTTCATTTAGGTTAGGTTTGGTTAGATTAGCTTAGGTTAGTCAGCAACAGCTAGTGATGGACGTAGGACTGGGGAATGGAACTCTTTATATGGTCTTCAATACACTTCACGTTAATGTATATATCGTCACAAGACTCACACACACTCATTCATGCTTAAAGGCTCAGAAACAGGTCGAGGAACATTGCTTTCACATCTAATTAACCCTCGATATAATGGACTTTCTTCTCCATATAGTTCATTATATAGAGGTTTCACATCTAATTAACCCTCGATATAATGGATTTTCTTCTCCATACAGTTCATTATATAGAGGTCTCACATCTAATTAACCCTCGATATAATGGATTTTCTTCTCCATACAGTTCATTATATAGAGGTTTCAGTGTAATAATATGATGGTAATTTAATATTTGTTCTGGTAAACGTAACAGGTGATGCGCGTCGAGGGACAGACAGACGTACACTCGCAGGAGAGAGTGGTCATACAGTCAACGGGTCTGGCAGTCGAGAGATTACCGGTCATATCCAGTTATACGATGGAGAATTCGTAAGATAATTATGACTGTGTTTACATGAATCATTTACCTAACCTAACCCAACCTAACCTAACCCAATCCAACCTAACCTAACCCAAAAAAATCATACACAATGAATAAAAAATAATCAGTTTGAAAAAAAAAAAATAATAAAAAAAAAAAACATTTTTAATCCACCAATCAAAATGTTTGTTATTTTTTTCCAGGAATTACTCGAGCGATTACACGAGTTCCCCACAGTCGGAGCAACACATGACACCTGCGTCCCAGTGTGGGCTCGATCACCTCACTGGCGGCTCCTTACCGCACGCACCATTAGAGTTCGATAGATTCCAGAGTAAGTTGAGTAGACTCTCTCATCTAATGGGCTGTGTGGTGTGACTGAGTTCCTTATGTGGCCAGGTTCTTTATGAGGCCAGGTTCTTTATGAGGCCAGGTTTGGACATGGCCAATTTCATTAATATTCTTTTCCGAGAATAATATCATTTTAATAACAATTGGTTTATTTTCTTCTGTAAAACATAAAGACAATTGGTTTATTTTCTTCTGTAAAACATAAAGACAATTGGTTTATTTTGTAAATTATAAAGACAATTATTGTAATTTATTTTTTCTGTAAATCACAAAAACAATATAATTTTCTTCCCCAGATGACGGGCCTCTGCGAACGTTTCCTCCCGGCCTGACCCTCATTAACCCAGCGACGACAATATCTTACGGTGAAACAAAGGCGGGTCTAGCTAAGAGTGACCAGGACGGGGCCGACCAGCGGGACCCCAGAGAAACTAGTCCGCATGGGGTTGATGCTCACGCTCAAGAGGACGAATCTTCACCCACGGCATACCTTACCCAGGGGAGCTTAGCGCAGGTCATGGCTTTTAACATCAAGAAGGAGGTGTGTGTGTGTGTGTGTGTGTGTGTGTGTGTGTGTGTGTTTGTGTGTGTGTGTGTGTGTTTATAACCTATTGTACTGTGATATTTTGAATATTAAGTACTTCTGTTTATGTTGACTACTGTAATGCTAACCTAACCTAACTTAAACCTAACCAAACCCTAAACAAACCTTTATCTCCCAAGGTGGAATACCCTGATGACGTCCAAGACAGCCCGCAACAACAAGAACAAGAACATTCGATTGAACAGCAGCAAGAACGGGATTCGTGGGCAAATTTTAACATACAAGACACTCTGACATTTCTTCAGCCTGGATGCAAGACTGATAGGTAAGGTTAGGTTAGTGTTGGTCGAGGTTAGGTTAGTCTTGGTTGAGGTAAGGTTAGGTTAGGCTATGTGAGTGGCATCTGAGGTGGCAGAAGATGATGGTGGTGTTTGTATGGGGGGGGGTTAGGTTAGGTTTAGGAGAATATGGTTTAATGGGTGATACTATGGTAATTACTGTAATGGTAGGAGAGCCAGTGCTTGTAGGGATGGTATGGTATGGTAGTTAATGGTAGGTAATCATGGTATTGTAGTTTATGTTATATTATGGTAGTTTATAGGAAATCAATGGTGGTTTGTGGTTTATCATGGTAGAAAATTATGGTATTGTATGGTATATGATTGCGCCATTGACCATTTTGAAGAAACTTGGACAAAATTGAAATATTCTAGAGTTTTAGGGGCATTTACTCCCTCCATATTGTAGTGTAGACATCTTAGGGCCGTTTTCTCCCTCCATATTGTAGTGTAGAAATCTTAGGGCCATTTCACTCCCTCCATATTGTAGTGTAGACATCTTAGGGCCATTTCACTCCCTCCATATTGTAGTGTAGACATCTTAGGGCCATTTCACTCCCTCCATATTGTAGTGTAGACATCTTAGGGCCATTTCACTCCCTCCATATTGTAGTGTAGACGTCTCATGGCCATTTCACTCCCCCACAGAAACTCAACGGGACTTAACATGATGGATACAATTATGAACACAGCCATTAGTGCCGAGTACAGCGCCTTCAGTCTCCTAGGCAGCAGCAACCCTCAGGAACTGAACGAACCCGAGAAACTGAAACTTAGCGAACTTTCGGAGGCCAATAAGGGTCTGATGGCTCCCTTATGTGAGGACTACAATTTTAAGGTATATAAACAGTGTACCTAGACAGTGTAGGTATATAAACAGTGTACCTAGACAGTGTAGGTATATAAACAGTGTACCTAGACAGTGTAGGTATATAAACAGTGTACCTAGACAGTGTAGGTATATAAACAGTGAACCTGTACCTAAACAGTGTAGGTATATAAACAGTGTACCTAGACAGTGTAGGTATATAAACAGTGTACCTAGACAGTGTAGGTATATAAACAGTGACCTAGACAGTGTAGGTATATAAACAGTGACCTAGACAGTGTAGGTATATAAACAGTGTACCTAGACAGTGTAGGTATATAAACACTGAACCTAAACAGTGTAGGTATATAAACAGTGTACCTAGACAGTGTAGGTATATAAACAAACCTAGACAGTGTAGGTATATAAACCTAGACAGTGTAGGTATATAAACAGTGAACCTAGACAGTGTAGGTGTATAAACAGTGTACCTAGACAGTGTAGGTATATAAACAGTGTACCTAGACAGTGTAGGTATATAAACAGTGTACCTAGACAGTGTAGGTATATAAACAGTGTACCTAGACAGTGTAGGTATATAAACAGTGTACCTAGACAGTGTAGGTATATAAACAGTGTACCTACAGTGTAGGTGTACCTAGACAGTGTAGGTATATAAACAATGTACCTAGACAGTGTAAGTATACAAACAATGTACCTAGACAGTGTAGGTATATAAACAATGTACCTAGACAGTGTAAGTATACAAACAATGTACCTAGACAGTGTAGGTATATAAACAATGTACCTAGACAGTGTAAGTATACAAACAATGTACCTAGACAGTGTAGGTATACAAACAATGTACCTAGACAGTGTAGGTATACAGCATACATAGACAGTGTAGGGGGACTGTACAGATGTCTAAATGAATGACTCGTTTTCTGTGAGACAACACTACCGCACGGGTATTCTTAGTTTGTACTGTATTAACGTCACAACTCCCATAATCCTTTGCGCCGTCCACCATCTTGTAGGTATGGATGCAGCACGCAAGAGTGATCGCTATCATACACAAACACGCCGACTTATTAAATGTTAAGTTCTAGATAATAATGAGTTCTTGTGTTGTCTGATGCCACGATACATCTAAGAGGAATGAGAAGCTCTGATTATTTACTCTTCCTGCTGTCATTTATAATCAAGGAGATAAAACAGGAATTGTCTAGAAATAGGAAGGAATTGTGGATTTCTGTAGTGAACAGAAGTGGATGGTTGGCTTCTAAACATTCCAAAGTTTGTTCAGAGCATTTCATTGAAGGTCGGCATCATAAATACTGAATGTAATTTAGTATAATATCATAACAACAACATTTCCTTCAACAGATAATTGTCCGTCAATAATACTCCATCACAGAATCACTCCACTGTATGTGACAGGTGTTTAATATACATACAGGTTTCTCAATGTTTGGAATATTATCACCAGACTTGATATACTTCACTTGTTTAACTCATCCATAGACGAAAAAACTGGATGTATGTAATAATTTTTATGCCCTGAGTTTATCAAGTATATAAACCACTTTTTCTAGACGTCATGTAAGATATAATGTCCATGTTCGCTATCAGTGGGGAAGTACAGTATCTGCCGACCATCTGCCAACCATCTTGATGTGGGAATTTCTGTACGGGTCTTCATCATCACTCTACTGCTTCGGGTTCACAAGTTCTGAATCCTGGGGTTCGTGGGAGAGGGAACGAGACCAGATAATAAATAATGGATAATAATTATATAATCGAGGTTTAAGAGACAGGAAATTATCTGGGTAAATAAATAAATAAGGATTTGTTTATACAGTTTAGTAATTTTAGGAGAATTTGTTGTGTTAAGTCTCCACTAACCTACTGTAACTTATATCCAGAATTACCCAACATTTCAGGACCTCAGCAATCCATCGCTCATCAATATCATCAACTTGACGGAAATAGCCATCAGACGACTCATCAAAATGTCAAAGAGAGTATCAGCCTTTAAGAGCTTATGTCAAGAGGACCAGATTGCTCTACTGAAGGGCGGCTGTACAGAGTTGATGATCCTCAGGTCTGTCTGTGCCTATGATCCGGACAAGGACTCATGGAAGGTAAGTCAGTTCATTATGGCACTTTTTAAGGCGAGTCAGTTCATTATGGCACTTTTTGGTAATGTACAGGACATAACGTGAAGCTTACATGGAGGAGAGAGTCCATTAAGGCTCTGTTAGATGTGAAACCTCTCCTCTGTCCCCTGGGTAAGTCAGAGACCCGGTTGGTAACATGTACAGTCCCCTTCACTAGTGTGTTTACAGGTGCTGGTCATATAGCCTAGGTACAGTCCCCTTCACTAGTGCGTTTACAGGTGCTGGTCATATAGCCTAGGTACAGTCCCCTTCACTAGTGCGTTTACAGGGGCTGGTCATATAGCCTAGGTACAGTCCCCCTTCACTAGTGTGTTTACAGGGGCTGGTCATATAGCCTAGGTACAGTCCCCTTCACTAGTGTGTTTACAGGGACTGGTCATATAGCCTAGGTACAGTCCCCCTTCACTAGTGTGTTTACAGGGGCTGGTCATATAGCCTAGGTACAGTCCCCTTCCCTAGTGTGTTTACAGGGGCTGGTCAAACAGCCTAGGTACAGTCCCCCTTCACAAGTGTGTTTACAGGGGCTGGTCATATAGCCTAGGTACAGTCCCTTAACTCGCGTGTTTACAGGGACTGGTCATTGCTTACAGTCCTTAACTGAGTGTGTTTTACAGGTGCTGGTCCTATAGCCTAGGTACAGTCCCTTCACTGGTGTGTTTACAGGGGCTGGTCATATAGCCTAGGTACAGTCCTTCACTAGTGCATTTACAGGGACTGCATATCTAGGTACAGTCCTTCACTAGTGTGTTTACAGGGCTGGTCATAGCCTAGGTACAGTCCTTCACTAGTGTGTTTTACAGGGGCTGGTCATATAGCCTAGGTACAGTCCCCTTCACTAGTGCATTTACAGGGACTGGTCATATATCCTAGGTACAGTCCCTTCACTAGTGTGTTTACAGGGCTGGTCATATAGCCTGAGTACAGTCCCTTCACTGGTGTGTTTACAGGGGCTGGTCATATAGCCTAGGTTAGTCCCTTCAGTTGTGTTTACAGGGCTGGTCATATATCCTAGGTACAGTCCCCTTCACTAGTGGTTTACAGGACTTGTCAGGTTTTTTGTGCAGCGTGGTAGCCCTGTGTTTGTTTACATTCGACAGAAAAAGAAACTGTAATAGTAAACATACCATGGAATCAAATTAAAACCTTATATTAAAAAAATAATGCTCTGTTGAATGTTTATATGAGGCGCCCTATAAACACACTAATGAAGGAACCGTACATATGGGTGAGAGTTCTCTGAAAAGGCTATTCTTCGTTAGACATTCCTACCTGAGCATTTTCCTCCATTTTCTTATGGTCTGGAGCTCCTCATATATGCATGAAATTAGACGGTTTTAAGAATAATGAGTCATTTATGATGTAACATGATAGTAAATAAAAAACGCTCGATTTTTATTCACCAGAAGCTATGTTGAGTGCTGTAGGAGGTGAGGTGGTGAGGGACTTAGTTACCTTCTTAAAGAATCATATTTCAGTGTTTATTGTTTAATGTAATTCCTTTATGGGGTCTTTTATCACCACTTGATGGTCTTTTCCCTCACTCATCTTGAATAAGGGTACACAGTAACACAGTCATATAACTGAACACAAACTGGTGAAGAATTCTAACTGAGCAGTACCATTGTTGAGGTGGCAACTGAGGAGTGAGTGGCCTTCAACTGAGCAGTACCATTGTTGAGGTGGCAACTGAGGAGTGAGTGGCCTTCAACTGAGCAGTACCATTGTTGAGGTGGCAACTGAGGAGTGAGTGGCCTTCCAACCATCTTGTGTACATGAAATAATTTTTACAATTTGGGTAAAAATTTAGGTTAGACATTGTGATTTTTTTTTCATTTATAATTTACCCAAATTCCGTGAGGGCGAATCTATTTCTGTATTCTGAATTTTTGTTTACAACTACTGTATAAAATTCCATAAGGGCCTATTTCTGTAACCCGAGTTTCCGTAATTACAGTAAGATTGGTTTGACGTCGTACATGGTAACCTAACCTAACCTAACCCAACCATGTGTTACATTCTCAGATCAACAAGACCAAGACCGCTTCAAGAACATCAAACTAAAGGTCTTAAAAGCCGCTCCAGGGAACGTGTCGAGGAACACAAACGCTTTATATTGGCCTTTAACCCAGAGTGGCGTAATGGACCATAATATTATCTTCCTGCTGTCGGCCATCACACTCTTCAACCCCGAACGTCCAAACATCATCCACTCTGACGCCATCAAGCACGAACAGGTTGTTTGTTTTTTCCTTTATTTTCTGTCTTGTATAGCACAGCGTAACCTCTATTTAATGGACTATGTGGAGAGGAAAGTCCATTATATCGAGGGTCTGTTAGATGTAAAACCTCCATCTAATGAACTGTATAGAGATGAAAGTCCATTATATCAAGGGTCAGTTAGATGTGAAACCTCCATCTAATGAACTATATAGAGATGAAAGTCCATTATATCAAGGGTCCGTTTGAGTCCTTGAAACCTCCATCTAATGAACTATATAAAGATGAAAGTCCATTATATCAAGGTCCGTTAGATGAAACCTCCATCTAATGAACTATATATAGAGATGAAAGTCCATTATATCAGGGTCCATTTAGATGTGAAACCCTCCATCCTAATGAACTATATAGAGATAGAAAGTCCATTATATCAAGGGTCCGTTAGATGTGACCTCCATCCTAATGAACATATAAGATGAAGTCCATTATATCGGTCCGTTAGATGTGTGACCTCCATCTAATGAACTTTATAGAAGATGAAAGTCCATTGAGGTCCGTTAGATGTAAAACCTCCATCTAATGAACTATATAGAGATGAAAGTCCATTATATCCAAGGGTCGTTAGATGTGAAACCTCCATCTAATGAACTATATAGAATGAAAAGTCCATTATATCGAGGTCCGTTAGATGTAGAAACCTCCATCTAATAAAGACTATATAGAGATGAAAAGTCCATTATATAAAGGGTCCGTTAGATGTGAAACCTCCATCTAATGAACTTCCTATAAAAGATGAAGTCCATTATATCGAGGTCCGTTAGATGTGAAACCTCTATCTAATGAACTATATAGAGATGAAAGTCCATTATATAAAGGGTCACGTTAGATGTGAAACACTCCATCTAATGAGCTATATAGAGATGAAAGTCCATTATATCGAGGGTCCCGTTAGATGTAAACCTCCATCTAATAGACTATAGAGATGAAAGTCCATTATAAAGGTCCGTTAGATGTAGAAACCTCCATCTAATAGACTATATAGAATGAAAAGTCCATTACTATCAAGGGTCCGTTTGATGTAAAACCTCCATCTAATGAACTATATAGAGATGAAAGTCCTTTATATCAAGGGTCCGTTAGATGTGAAACCTCCATCTAATGAACTATATATATAGAGATGAAAGTCCATTATATCAAGGGTCCGATTAGATCTTAGAGAACCTCCATCTAATAGACTATATAGAGATGAAAGTCCATTATATCAAGGGTCCGTTAAATGTGAGAGCCTCCATCCAATGAACTATATAGAATGAAAAGTCCATTATATAGAGGGAGTCCGTTAGATGTGAAACCTCCATCAAATGAGGCTATAAAAGAGATGAAAGTCCATTATATAGGAGTTCTGGGAGTGAAACCTCCATCTAATGAACTATATAGAATGAAAGTCCATTATATCAAGGTCCGTCAGATGTGAAACCTCCATCTAATGAACTATATGAAGATGAAAAGTCCATTATATGGGGTCCGTTAGATGTGAAACCTCCATCTAATGAACTATAGAGATGAAAGTCCATTATATCAAGGTCCGTCAGATGTGAAACCTCCATCTAATGAACTATATAGAAGATAGAAAGTCCATTATATCAAGGGTCAAGTCAGATATTGAAACCTCCATCTAATGAACTATATAGAATGAAAGTCCATTATATCAAGGGTCAAGACAGAATTAAAACCTCCATCTAATGAACTATATGAGATAGAAAGTCCATTATATCAAGGGTCCGTTAGATGTGAAACCTCCATCTAATGAACGATATAAGATGAAAAGTCCATTATATAAAGGGTCCGTTAGATGTGGAAACCTCCATCTAATGAACTATATAGAATGAAAGTCCATTATATCAAGGGTCCGTTAGTCATGAAACCTCCATCTAATGAACTATATAGAATGAAAAGTCCATTATATAAAGGGTCCGTTAGATGTAAAACCTCCATCTAATGAACTATATATATAGAGAGATGAAAGTCCATTATATCAAGGGTCAGAATTAGATGTGAAACCTCCATCCTAATGAACTATATAGAGATGAAAGTCCACATTATATAAAAGGGTGGTAGATGCCCGGCCTCATCTAATGAACTATATAGAGATGAAAGTCCATTATATCAAGGGTCCGTTAGATGTGAAACCTCCATCTAATGAGCGATATAGAGATGAAAGTCCATTATATCGAGGGTCCGTTAGATGGCGAAACCTCCATCTAATGAAGCGATATAGAGATGAAAAGTCCATTATATAAAGGGGTCCGTTAGATGTGAAACCTCCATCTAATGAACTATATAGAGATGAAAGTCCTTTATATCGCAAGGGTCCGTTAGTGTGAAACCTCCATCTAATGAACTATATAGAGATGAAAAGTCCATTATATCAAGGGTCCGTTAGATGTGAAACCTCCATCTAATAGACTATATAAGATGAAAGTCCATTATATCAAGGTCCGTTTGATGTGAAACCTCCATCTAATGAACTATATAGAGATGAAAAGTCCATTATATAGGGGTCCGTTAGATGTAAAACCTCCATCTAATGAACTATATAGAGATGAAAGTCCATTATATAAAGGGTCCGTTAGATGTAAAACCTCCATCAATGAACTATATAGAGATGAAAAGTCCATTATATAAAAGGGTCCGTTAGATGTAAAACCTCCACATCTAATGAACTATATAGAGATGAAATTAGTATATCAAGGTCCGTTAGATGTGAAACCTCCATCTAATATGAACTATATAGAGATGAAAGTCCATTGTAAGGTCGTTAGATGTAAAACCTCCCATCTAATGACTATAGAGATGATCCATTATATAAAGGGTCCCGTTGTTAGATGAAACCTCCATCTAATGAACTATATAGAGATGAAAGTCCATTATATAAAGGTTTCACTATACACACATTACACTATATACAGAAAACCTCCACAACTGTAAAAACAAACAATAGAAACCGTGTAAACTAATATTTTGTAAATCGTGGAATGTGTGTAAATTGTGTGACAATGTAAGAAAGTTTGTTAAGATATTTCTATATATTTCAGTGTTTTTTTTTATTGTTATTTTTATTAGTTTTTATTTTATTGATGTTTACTGAATAAGATTTTTAAGTAGGATTATTTTAAGGCTCCACACACACACACACACACACACATGCAGCACGCACACACACACACACACACACACACACACACACACACACACACACACACACACACACACACACACACACACACACACACACACACACACACACACAGTCCTTATTTAGGTAAGATTAATTCTGATGATTAACCCTTAATTTATTCTTTAATCCCACAAATCTTGCTCTTAATCTACTATATCCTGATTAACAAATTAAGAGACTGTGAAACTATACTCACACACACACACACACACACACACACACACACACACACACACACACACACACACACACACACACACACACACACACACACACACACACACACATATATATATAAGGTTTAAGGATAATAAAACCTAACCCCAAGTAACATAAACACCTTTTTTGTATGTCCTCAGTGTTCGTATCTCTACTTACTGAAGAGGTATCTGGAGTGTAAGTATGGAGGTTGTGAAGGAAGGACAGTCTATCATCGCCTGCTGGAGAGGATTACCCACTTGCACATCCTCAGTGAAAACCACATTCGGGTCTTCTTGGAGGTTAACCCGCAAGAGGTCGAGCCCCTTCTCATCGAGATATTTGACCTGAAACAGAGGTGACAGTTCGTAGGATCGGATAAGGGTTTTGACAGTCATATGATGGGTTAAAGACAGTTTTGACAGTCATACTATGGGATAAAAGAACGTTTTGACAGTCACACCATGGGATAAAAGAACGTTTTGACAGTCACACCATGGGATAAAAGAACGTTTTGACAGTCACACCATGGGATAAAAGAACGTTTTGACAGTCACACCATGGGATAAAAGAACGTTTTGACAGTCACACCATGGAATAAAAGAACGTTTTGACAGTCACACCATGGGATAAAAGAACGTTTTGACAGTCACACCATGGGATAAAAGAACGTTTTGACAGTCACACCATGGGATAAAAGAACATTTTGACAGTCACACCATGGGATAAAAGAACGTTTTGACAGTCACACCATGGGATAGGAGACAGGAATATTAGGTCAAGGCAGAGCCCCCCCCCCCCAATGCAACGTATAACACAAAAGGCGATGTTTGTATACTTCCTGCGGCTGTGTGACGCAGCGACAGATTTCTACACTTAGATCTTGTCCGACCTTGTAACTCAGATGGAATTTTTCTTATTGTTATACACAGAATTCCAATTGATATAAGAAAACATAATTTTTTTCATCATTTAAGCATCATCAGTGTTAAAGTTCTCTGATGATGATGATGATAATAATAATAATATTTATTCACTATGTACGGTACACTCACTTGCATTAACACCTGGTACAGTGATTGGTGTGTTTTGTTAGATGTGGCACCATTGTGTTTGTTTATCTATCACCCTTAGTCTGGCTACTATTGTGAGTTTCCTTAGGGGCCATTCTTTAAGACCATGTAAACAAACACAGCCTTGCCACATGTCACAAAACACACCAGTAACTGTACTAGGTGTAAACGGAGGCATCTGTACATACCACTTAGGGATAAATGATAGGTATTTTCTCATTCTAAAGCTCAAAGAAATGCCACATATTTTTATCCATGTGTTGTGAACTGCAGTGAGCTACAGGCAGTCATAAAAAAATTTCTACTGGTTGGCGATTTATTTTCAATAAGAATGAGGTAGTGTGTGTGTGTGTGTGTGTGTGTGTGTGTGAAGGAACAAGTATACACACACACACAAAATATCCCAGTACATGTGTCCATTAGATTAGAGGTATTTTATCAGGAATGGAAGCCTTTTGTAAATGAAGAGATACCTGTATACAGTGAACCCTCACTTTACGCGGTTAATTCAACCCACGGCGGCCCGCGGAAAGTGAACAACATAACATATGGGATTAATTGAAATAGAGACCGGGCCGACCCCCAAACTCCACTTTTTCAGACACAATACCTATGTTGTAGTAAAAATAACTTCTTAATTTTATGATGGTATGCACACACAATTAATAATTAAGAGAAATATCAATAATATTAGGTTTTTTAACACTTACATTAGTAGAAAAGATGGCTGGGCACACGGGATGGGGGTTATTCCGAGGGCAGAGGGCAGATTATTGGCCCTCACCTAATAATGTAACATTGTATCACTATCCACCACAGAGGCCGCAGGGCCTCTTTGTCAAACCCCCCAAAGTCCATATAAGTCCATATCCTCACTATAATTATCACTATCACTGACTTGGGCCGGCTGTGGTGGGTGGCGGGTGAAGAACTCGGGAATGTTTTGATGACTGGGCGACCTTGTGCGCACCCTGCTCGCGCTGCTTACACAACATGGCAGATGGCGGGAGAGATGGCGGGAGGTTTCGATCCAAAAATGGCGCGGCTCGCCGGCCGCTCTCCGCGTAAAGGGGTACACGCACAGCGGAATGTGAGCGTTCCGGTTTCGGCAGGGTAACACATAAACGTGGAAATGCGGAATGTGGGACCGCGTAAAGCGAGGGTTGACTGTATTGCATTATGTTGTTCTGAAAGACTTGGTGAAATATTGAACAGGCATTGCTAGATTAACGAAGCGTCGATTTATGTATGATTTTCTGGACTGGAAGCCTGACATAAATCGATGGCTACTGAGTTTACGGATGATTTTCTGGACTGGAAGCCTGACGTAAATGAGAAAGCTGGTCTTCAACGCAGACTATTGATGCCAAAACTACACCTTTCATTTCTCAATTGGTCACCTGAAGATTAACCCACAAGTGCTCACCTGAAGATTAACTCCCAAGTGCTCACCTGTAGATTAACCCCCAAATTGCTCACCTGAAGATTAACCCCAAGTGCTCATCTGAATTAACCCCAAGTGCTCACCTGAAGTCTCATCTGAATTCCAACAGTGCTCACCTGAAGATTAACCCCTCAGTACCTGAAGATTAACCCCCAAGTGCTTACCTGAAGATTAACCCGTGCTCACCTGAAGATTAACTCCCAAGTGCTCACCTGGAGATTAACTGCTCACCTGAAGATTAACCCCCAAATTGCTCACCTGAAGATTAACCCCAAGTGCTCACCTGAAGATTAACCCCAGTGCTCACCTGAAGATTAACCCCAAGTGCTCACCTGAAGATTAACCCCCAAGTGCTCACCTGAAGATTAACCCCAAGTGCTCTGAAGATTAACCCCAAGTGCTCACCTGAAGATTAACCCCAAGTGCTCACCTGAAGTCACTCCGAGCTCAATCTCAGGTGAAATTTAACCAGCCTGAAATTTATCTTGGGGCGGGTGGGGTTAGGTTAGGTTAGATGATTCATAACAACCAAAATTACATAATAATCTTGTTCTCTGTTTTGACTACACCATTTACCTGCACCAATAGATGATTATATTGTACACAGGTGTGTTTTGATTTTCATAAGTATTCCATTCCTGAAAAACACGAAATCAAAATTTTTTACACGTCAAGTTTTCTTAAAGCAAATTTTTATACATAAAAATTATCATAAATCGATCAGTTGCCTTTACAATGAGACTTATATTTAATTGACTGTATGGAGATGAAAGTCCATTATATTGAGGGTTAGTTAAGTGTGAAACCTCAATATAATGGACTTTCATCTCCATATAGTCCTAGAGGTTTCAGTGTGTGCACCGTGACTACAGGATTTTTATATCTAGAGGTTTATCACTATTATATAAATTTGAACCAATACAGTTAGCCCAGACTGTTTGGGAGGTGGTGTGTGTGTGTGTGTGTGTGTGTGTGTGTGTGTGTGTGTGTGTGTTTTGTGAAAGATTACTATTATTATCTATAAGAATTCTCTGGTTGAGTGCAAAAAAAAGCCAATGTCAAAAAATGAAAGAAAAATAATGCCAGTTTAGTCTCTGGGTTCTGAGGACCAAAGCTTATATTAAATTTTTTTTGACATTGCCTATTTTTCTGCTCCTTTTGTTAAGTCTTTTTTCTGCTCCTTTTGTTAAGTCTTTTTTCTGCTCCTTTTGTTAAATCTTATTATAAATCAGTCTTAAGTTTGTGTTTTCCTGGGTGAAAAGTGTACAGCTCATCTGGAAACCGCACGTCAAATGAGCGTTAATCTAACCTTTCCTACCATACCTGACCGGTCTTAGAATATATTTTAGTTATGTAAGGTTAGGGGTAGGTTGGGTTGGTTTGGTTTTAAGTTAGGTTAGTAAAGTTAGAGTTAGATTAGGTTATGTAAATTTAGTTAAGAAGATGTGAATGACGACACGGTACAGACATCTCACCACTGTGGCTTGACCTTTATGTGGATTTGTTTGTGTTTTATGTATATGGTCACGATTCAGTACAAAACGCAAGAATTTCTCCCGTATAGTTTTATATATGGGAATACTTATAACATATATGGTGCCTGCATGCGTGTGTGTGTGTGTGTGTGTGTGTGTGTGTGGGTATACACAGAATACGTGTATGTACAGTATAACGTAATATACTGTACGTACTAATAGGCCAATGAGTAATGGGCAATCATAATTAAATCACCACTCGAGGAAAACCCAAGAATTACAGTACAGTACTTGTATTTTGTTGTAATATTGTATAGTTTATGTAACCTTGGGTAAGTGAGCCAGTGTATAAAATATAGCTTACAGAGATAATAATGTATAGTATATATTACATAAATTCCTCGTTATATCAATCTTAATACAGTTGCTCTATAATGCCGTACATTAATATTCCTTCATATACCTGTGATAAAAATATATTTCAAGATTATAATACGTTTTATTTACCTATTTATAATATGTCATTATAGTATGGATCACCTGAAGATTAGCCCTCAAGTGCTCACCTGAAGATTAAGTGTCTGGGGTGGATTAAGGGGTACAGAAACCTCTCCCATATTTATGTGGGATGGATTATGGGGTACTGAAACCTCTCCCTACTTGCTTCCTTGTTTCATCAACTGCTGGTCGTCAACTGCTGGTCGTCAACTGCTGGTGCAACTGCTGGTCATCAACTGCTGGTGTCAACTGCTGGTCATCAACTGCTGGTCAGTCAACTGCTGGTCATCAACTCTGGTCGCCAACTGCTGGTCGCCAACTGCTGTTCAACTGCTGGTCGCCAACTGCTGGTCGTCAACTGCTGGTCATCAACTGCTGGTCGTCAACTGCTGGTCGCTCAACTGCTGGTCGCGAACTGCTGGTCATCAACTGCTGGGGTCGCTGCTGGTCATCAACTGATTCGTCAACTGCTGGTCATCAACTGCTGGTCGCCAACTGCTGGTCATCGCTGCTGGTGGCCAACTGCTGGTCGTCAACTGCTGGTCGCCAACTGCTGGTCGTCAACTGCTGGTGGGTCACAACTGCTGGTCGTCAACTGCTGGTCGTCAACTGCTGGTCGTCAACTGCTGGTGCGTCAACTGCTGGTCGTCAACTGCTGGTCGTCAACTGCTGGTCGTCAACTGCTGGTCGCTCAACTGCTGGTCGGTCAACTGCTGGTCGGCACTGCTGGTGCGTCAACTGCTGGTCGTCAACTGCTGGTCGTCAACTGCTGATCGTCAACTGCTGGTCGTCAACTGCTGGTCATCAACTGCTGTGTCAACTGCTGGTCATCAACTGCTGGTCGCCAACTGCTGGTCGTCAACTGCTGGTCATCAACTGCTGGTCGCTCAACTGCTGGTCGTCAACTGCTGGTCGCAACTGCTGGTCGTCAACTGCTGGTGCGTCAACTGCTGGTCGCATCAACTGCTGGTCGTCAACTGCTGGTGATCCACTGCTGGTCATCAACTGCTGGTGTCCAACTGTGCGTCAACTGCTGGTCATCAACTGTGGTCGTCGCTGCTGGTCATCAACTGCTGGTCGTCAACTGCTGGTCATCAACTGCTGGTCGTCAACTGCTGGTCGCAACTGCTGGTCGTCAACTGCTGGTGCGTCAACTGCTGGTCGCTCAACTGCTGGTCGTCAACTGCTGGTCCAACTGCTGGTCATCAACTGCTGGTCGTCAACTGCTGGTCATCAACTGCTGGTCGTCAACTGCTGGTCGTCAACTTCTGGGTTATTACACACCATGGACTTGGTATGTTGATGGTCCCTTTTTTCTTCTTTTGAACAACCCACTTATATTTTAACTCACAAATTATCTTGTTCTTTTGGTTCTTTGTTTCTTTACTTTCCTGTTTTTTCTTTTTTTCGTTCATTTCTTTCACCTTGGGACACTCTGGGATCTCACCTTGGCTACCCTACAGAAAGATCTCTGTGAGTTCCAGGAATGGTCGAAGAAATGGCTGCTGAGATTCCATGTCACGAAGTGTAAGAGGATGCACCTGGGGCGTACCAACGGTAAGGAGGCGTATCATATGTCCCAACGGGATGAAGAAACTGCGCTAGTTGAGACTGAATGTGAGAAGGACCTAGGTGTGTATGTTGACAATGAGCTGAAGTTCTCGGCCCATTGCGAAGAAGGTAAATCAGGCAACTAAATTATTGGGTCTTATAAGAAGGTCGTTCAGATATCTAGACGGATCCGTCCTCGTAACGATCTTCAAGAGTGAAGTGCTTCCCCATCTGGAGTACTGTAACCCATCTGGTCCCGAGATATGCTAGGGACTGTCAGTTGGTTGAATGTTACAAGAGGGCCACCAGACTGGTGCCTGCACTACAGCACCTCAGCTACCCTGAGAGATTGGAGCGCCTGAACTTGCTTAGCTTATACTACAGACGGGCAAGGGTGACC